GTACTTTCTAGACATTTCAAACAATGTCTATATATAGAAGCTAGTCACAATCGAGTTCCAATAAGACACAATCTTGCCAAATTTAGCTCAATTCTACTACGAACGAAACAGTTACGAAGCTTTGAAGGGCTTAAAATTAGTTACCCAAGGACAGCTAGCTATGGCATTTTAGTTGGTTATAAAGCCATAAACTTGATCGATTTATTAATGTGTGATGGATATATATGGCTCGCCCTTTTGCCTCTTGGTGTCCGACTACTCAAATATGATCGGTGCATGGAAAGAAAAACTGAAGCCAATGATTTTAGCCATGACCACCCAGCCTCGTATTGAGATTTCACCGTAAATGGGCGACGGCAAAAGGCTGAGCACAGCGCACCGTATGTTAGGAAACACACGAGGATACTGTTACCAAAATATGTATACATATATATACGAAGTCTCCTTTTTGTCCAATGCTATCATCATCACTCTGTTCCATTACTACTGCAGTATCGTTGTCGTCGTGCAGACCCGGATGCTTCTTCTCGCTGCACCACCCCGGTCTCTCGATCCGCTCGTGGGTTCATTCGTATGTCGACAGCTCCCGATCCTTTTCGCTTCTTCGCTGTCTTTCTAGGGTCGATTCCGGCCAGTGTCGGTAGCTTCCTTCCTCTACTTACCTCCCTTCTTCCCGTCAGGCCGACTTTCCCTGTCAGCTTTCCGTCGGCTTCTGGTCACCGGCGGCAGCAGCGGCAGTCTGCAGCTACACTAAGTTTGTCTTCTTGGCCCGATCAGTCGTCCGCCTTCTCCAAACCCCTTCTGCACCCGTATCCACTATTTTACACTCAGGGTCGGGGCTCCGTGGCTGTCTTGCCACAGCAGTCACGCTGAGACTTTTTGTCGTCGCAATAGCGTTCGTTTCTGCTCTCGGTACGTCCCTCCCATGACTAGTTGTAGTAGCAGTTGTTTTAGTACAACAGTGCCTGTGTCTTGCTCTGTTTTGCTAACACTGCCAACCCCTATCGTTGTATGCGCGTCTTTACGTGATCTCTCTTTCTTTGTCGCAGAACCAGCATCGCCTACATGGCAGTCTCCTCTTCGTCTTGTTCGGTTCGTTTCTCACCATCTTTGCTTCGACACAACAGCAGTGGCGTCGCGGCCGCTGCCACCCCCGTATGACCCAAGCAAAGGCTGCCAAGGTCTGACGAACCGCCTGTTAGACAGCGCTACACTGGACTCAACTGAAACTGGTTTGGACTTATGCCGAGTCCTTTCTCTCTGCCCCAGGCGAATCCATCAGCACATGGAAGTTCGGCAGGCCCGGCTGCATTTCAGCAGTCAAATCCAGCACAGGCGGTGGTTCGACAACAATGGGAGCAGCATTAGCAGCGACAGACGTCATCACGACGCCTCGCAAAGCTGCTAAAAAAACAAGCATGTTCCCAATATGAACAAAGGCCAAGGGCCTGCATGCACGGCCCTACAGAGAACGAAGGCAATGAACAAAAAGCCCCGACGATCGAGCTCTGTGAACCGGCTTGCTATGCCGCGAGGCGCCTGCTCCTCACAAATAGTCAAGATGCTTCTTACGCTACAGTGTGTCATCACAACCGTAAGGATGTGAATGCTACATCTATTGGTTGAGAAAAATGAAAGTTGCATATTAATCAAAAGTGATTAAGCTATCGGTGCTTGGTGATTTGACCCAACAACCTGTGCGAATAGAAACAAATGGACGATTGGACCTAGTGTGAAATAAATAATAATGTTTACGGGTTTGCAAGTGAAGTATGCAAGTGCTACGCTATAAATCTGTAATAGGTTAGGATCTTTTCCAGTAGAAGATTCTATAGGTGTCGCATGACATTGATGTTCGTCCTATTTGTTAACATGAGCCTTGCATTGTATCAATCGATGTTTTTTTACGCATATGTGCTTCCACGGCGTTACGCGATTGAGTAACCCTCAAATTTCAATCTTCTTTGGGCAGAAATAATTTTCAGAAAAAAAGAAGAACGCTAGAGTTGTTTCTGTTACTATTCATGGCCATCCTCCAACAGCAGGCGGAGCAACAGGCAGATTTCAAGCGAAAGACGCATATACAGAAACAAACTATTCATAGACACCTATTTTCGAGCTTCTGGCCCTTCTTTTAACTCACCTGTGCAAGATATGACGATCATCTCCAGATGTCGTACCTTAGTTTCATAGATCTAAATAAGTTTAATATTGTGAGTTGGCCACAAGAGAATTTTACATTCGAAGCTATTCAGATCGCATGAGTATATGCGAGATGTTATCATCCTAGAAGACTACTTCGCATCGTCTTTTGTCCGCCCAGGGTTGACTTTAGTTGTTGATTGTCTGACTTCACTCGGCGCCACTAATCGAATCCACAGACACCCTTCGCCTGCTGCTAAGGCCATAGAGGAGCAGCCTTCTCAAATCCCTCTAAATTATCTGGTTATCTATAGAAAGGATTTTCCGATTTAACCATCATTTTCTTGGTCATAAACGATTAAAATGTCTTTTTTTGATCCTGGCCTCGGTTGTGCGCAACCTATTTTTTATCCTGCGAATGATGTGCATATCCTCGAGCGCTTGGCAACGACCCGTCCATTGGGTTAGATGAGAAATAGGTTCCTGCTTATAACACTTTCGCCAGTGCTTTAAGGTATTCAATATAGTGTATAAAGCCTGATTATTGGTTATGCAGAGAGCTTTTAAGATTACTAGTCTGAATTTTCGCGCAATAGGTTCTATTTTTGCGAGAGCTCAAGAAGCGTTTCGAGGATTAAGTCGAATCCTGCAGCTAACTAGCACTAAAAGCAGTGTTTCACCAAGTGGAACGGCAAAAAATTAATGAACTAAGATTTAGTTCTAAACTAAACGCTTGCGTCACATGTGTAAATATGCAAAAATTACTGAAATCATTTTCTGCCTACCTTAATGCTATATGCGATGGGAGCCGAATCATTCTCCTACCGCTGTCACGACGGTTAGCTTTCCTCAAGCATTTTATGACGAGTCAAATAAGAAATGTAGGAGTGACATTTTGCCGAGACACCTGAATTGTCGTTTATAGCATAGGTTGGCTCGGAGAGACTAGAATCGACGAAACGAGCCGGGGCTGGCTGCATATAGTAACGGGCCCCGTGTAATTACAGTGATGCGGAAATGCCCTATACTGAATAGGGCAGTCAGTGAGTGGTTTAGTGGGGTTTCCGCTCGACGAAAGTAGTCTAATGAATACAATTTGAGGACCTTTCTTTCTTATTCTTTGTCGAAAGCATCAGTAGAAAGAGAGAATCGATGTACGATCCGTTTTCAATTGGCACCCTTATATTTCAGACCCAGAGTTACTACCTTAAGTCAATTTTCCTAGCCTTAATTAGCTAGCTGTCACAGACTAACCGTTTTGGTGCGACCCTTTCTTAGGACAATTGTACTAGAATTGTGCGTGTAACTGAAAACATCAAATGCTCTATCTGAATAAAAAAACGATGCGCATTGTCAGTGAGGGTGGTTTCATCTGAACAGTGTATGCAGGCTTCGTTTCGTTATTAACTGTTTAATAAGCTAAATTTATAATAATAAATAAATAAAGCGTCTAATTAACAGATCAAAATAGATTGTCATTTAATTTAATGTAGAGAGTTTTAATTAGATGTAGAACTGGGCATCCTTGGGGACCCGGCATGGCATTCGGCCATAAGGCCATCACGGTCCTTAAACATATCATAAAACTTTTTGGAAATGTTTATGATGCGCTAGCATAAAAGTAACTTAAGAACGGCTCTGGGTGCTGCAAATCGTAGAGGTGATGCATATTTCAAATTGTTTTATTAGTATTACTTTTATTAACATTATTAGCAACCTATACAAGACAAAATATAAGTTCATCTAGTTTGCACGAAGTGCGTCCGGTCTTGATCACCTTCAAAAAGCTTGTCTTCACTTTACTGAACTCGTCTCTCAAGTATGCTTATTACAATGCCCAATATATATCAGCTTACTCTGGGAATAAGTTGCAGTAACGAGGTTATATTGTGGCCAATTTTACATTAGGAAAGATCCGTGTCGACAAGATCTGCTGACTGCAGCGTCGTATCGATTTGGTCGAGACGAACTCTGAGAGAGACGCACAAGAACACTTGTCTTCCTCCATAATCATATTTAGTACAATTATATCTGCCTCGCTGAATATATCCCCATATAGATCCTACACAGTAATCAAAGGAGTACACAATTTCATGTGTTATGGCGCTACATAAGGTCCTAGCTTACTAGGTTAGCACGACGCGTTACGATGTCCTCTAGTTGTACGTTGTATGTTGTAATTAGACAAACTGGTGAGTAAGGATTATATCGGTTATTGGACAATGGAGAGCCAGGCCGATTCCTCACTTGTATATGGGGAGGCTGAATCTATTTCAGTGTCAAAAAATCTAATATCACGTATTTACTACACCTGAGCTCTCAGACACTCTCCAACATATCGAAGCCATTCTGCTAAAGGCCAATCTAGAGGCCCTAGCGATTTTAATTCTGATCGGTAATTAGTTAACTGAATGCAACTGTCTGCGCATAGAAGCTATCTAATGAACGGTAATTAAATAATTCTGTATTGATACTTTTCAACGCCTGTCTAATTTTCACTCGATATTTCTCTGGCGACTTTGCCATCTACTCACGGCTAGCTTATGACAGCCTGCAAAATTGTAGCACGATTCAGGTGTTCTTCATTCGCTAAAATCTATGGCTCTTCTTAAAATAGAAGGCAATAAAGTCCTAAGCCGCTAGGCCCAGTGAGATTGGAAGGTCTACGACATGACCGAATAACGTGCTTGAATCATGCAACGTTTTTGCAAGACTTTCTCTATTGGAAGTTTGGCGATACATTTTGCGCCGTAATGCGTCAACACGCTTTTTGTGCATCCAGTAAACGGGGCAGTTAATCATGCTGCCAGAAGACGTGGAATAATAAAACACGTAGTTTTTTTATCCGTCTAGTGGAAGTTTAGACTATTAGTCTGAGATACATACATTAAATTACTTCAAAGAGTAAACTTATAAATTAGCTTGGACCTGCTTTTTCAAAAATGAGGTTTGTGAGACAACTGTAAAAGTTTATCTAATCTTCTAGATTTTTCTCCTATTTCGGCTTGGTGTCGAGTGAGATTTTACATTGAATCATGTACACATTGTATAATTTTTATTTTTATTCTCTCTTATATGTATAGTCTAGCTAGAAAACTACTGACCATAATTAAAATTTCGTAATTTTATTTATTATATAAAATTTATTCGTTTAAAACGATCATCTTGTGTTCTCTGTACATTTATATTACAGTGTGCGATGATATAAAATAGGCACCTTTGCCTCGTTTTCTCATTGTGTCATCAATGCTATCGCCCAGTCATGCTCGTCTTGATCATCTTTCTTTTCCAGTTTCTTTCTTCTTTGTTAGTCTTCCCATTGAATGTGTGCTCTTGTCATTATTTTATATTAGGAACTGCTCTTGATTCTCGTGTAATCATCAACATTGTCGTCGGTGGCTTTTTTGTGCGACAATTCTTTGCAATCATAATAGTACAAGTTTTGATTTCAACTTAAATTACGCTATGTTGTCGTTCTTTATACGATTAGTTGTCTTTTTGCCTTAAGTTAAACGCCGTAATACTATAAACTAACAATGGTTTGCAAACGGAACTCCGGCTTCACTGTATATAGAAAAAAACCGACCGATCTGCGCTTGATTGATTCGCTCGTATATCGTTTATAATTCGTTCTTATGAATTCTAAACGTATCTTCTGTTTGGTGCAACAAATGGAGAGCCCGCGGTGGCATCACTGTTGCAGCCTGTTGAGTCCCGCTCAAGTCTCTGAATGATGTGTAATTAAAATAAGGGACTCGTTTTTTTGCTGTTTACGTCATTCCTGTCATGAACGTTTTCGAAATTCGTTTCCTGTATTATCATTCCTTTTAGATGTATCCACATTGTGATAACGTTGACGGTGTCATTGAAACTATTTCGGCGGAATGAAGCTAAGCAAAGCTAAATGTGACGATCTGATGGTCTCAAGTTGGTAACGATGGTAAAATGGAGAACATTTTAAGGAAATATTTTGTTTCGTTTCGACGTTTACAATCCGTTGCCTATTAGTTCTGATCGCAAAGTAAAGGGCGGTCAATTTCAAATCTACCTTATTCACTTCACTCAAACTCCCATTCTGTGTTCTCGTTTTATCGATGCTGGTGTCTTTTCTGGACTAGCTCTCGTCACAATTTGTGAAATATACGTTACGGTCGATTGTAGCGTTTTAGCTTAACCGTACCTAGTTTCCGCAGGACAGTGGTGTGGTACCAAGGACTTTGGGATATTACTATACACATTGTTGATGATGATGATAATACCCATACTTTCGTGTATTTACGTACTGTCATCTTTTCGTCAGCGTTATTATCACAAGCAATAAAAATAATGATCATATTAATTAATTATAACTTTATACAGACTTTACATTGTTGTCATTGATCGTGTTTTGTGGGACCTTTTTGTTTCTGTTTTAACATACATTTTTTCATTAAATATACTCAAAATTTAGAGTTCGTCGAGCTGAGTTAATAATTAAATGTGTACGTGCCTGCTAGTATGTCAGCGCTACCCGGATTTCGCAGCTCTTCATGTCGATGAACTAAGATTCTGTCTTAGTTCTTGTACAATACAACTCTCCATTTGTAACGCAATAAATTTGCGATTTTCTGATAATTTCTTGTTTGCCATAAAATTTATCTTGCCGGTAAATATGACAGGCGTACGATAATATTTCATCGGTTTTTGTATATCAACAACAGGACAAGGGAGTTTTGTCCATGGCATCAACACTACGTTACTCTCAGTTTCTCAGCACTAAAAATCAGGTAACGGCCTCGGTATATATATACCGAGACCGTTACTAGATTTATATATATATATATATATATAAAAGCTAGCGAAAAGGGATCGTTTCAGTCTCGCCGAAGAGTAATCTTTCTGGTATTGTGTCCTTTTCATTATTCATTTTAGACCATTTGGTTGCAACACAACATATACACCGATCTACGTACAGATCGATATACCTACATTTTTGGCTTCGTCATTGCTATGCCTAGAAGAGGGGTTTTTAGCTAGTCTTCTCCTCATATTCTAATAACCCCCCATAGTCTTTTATATCATCTTTGCGTAGCAACATATTCCGCTACACGGAAGTCTATCATGTATACAGATACACAAAGACTACACGACACCTTGACCATCTAATACAGTCCGCGAATACGCGTATAGTAATCGACAAGTCTTTATCACACGAGTTGGACTGCGACAGACAGAAGACACTTAATTCTTAATACTTGTACGTCGCTTGCCGCGCACGTTACGTTCAACGGAATAACAGCGTCAAAAAATAGAATGAAAATTATAGATGTTGCTTTTTTTTTGAAATGCTGTCACTTAATGCGGAGCAGATAACCAGATAAGATTTCCGTCATGCTCTGTGTCTTCACCGCCATGTTCGGTTTTCGGCGTTTTTTTTATAAATAGAATTTTTTATTTTGTCAGTACCTGCAATAACTTACAAAGAAAAGTTAAACAAGTAGTTGTCTAGAGTACATCCCTGTTTGTCGTCACCGTCCTCGCATGTTTGACGATGCACGGCACCGTTGATAAGTTCGAAAGTCGCTCAAAGAAATCGAGCTGTCGAATAATTTTTCATCTCTGACAGGCCAATTTCTACGCAACTTTGCCTCTCAGAAAGTGGTTCGTGGTTACTGAAAGTATCTATATATATCTAGTTTCGTGTGAATATATATCTTCAAACCGTTTCAATTTCTATGCTATACAGTTTAACGTACAAATTAATCCTCATCTGTTTTTTTTTCGAACTTTAAGCATTCTTCCACTCGTATGCATTTTCTCTGCCGCTAAGGGACAGCATTACTCCGACATTAAATAGCATCTACGCAAAATAACAGACGATTGAGACATACACATCCATTCTTTATCATCCTTGCTCGTTTTCTCATTGCGGGAGCCCGGTAAAACAGCGTGTATTTCTTTGTTTACGTTTTTTTACTCTAGGCCTTTTGTGCTAGGCCTCGTTTGCCTGTTCATTGTAACACACGAGGCCCCTTTTCAAGTACATTCACACACATTAACTTGCATGAGCTAGATAAATTTAGTTAGCACTCTCTCTTTCTTTCGCTCTCTCGTACTCTCTCACGCTTTCTCGCTTTGGAAACTTTTCACACCAATACGAGCGGCAAATTTTTCGCCGCTTTTCGTTATTAATAATTACGAGACTAGAAAAGCATCATGTAAATGGGTAATACACTCGTCTATCGGCAACTCGACTTTATTAAATGACTTACAAAAGCGACAACTGAGGACAAACTCAAACGTGTGCTATGGTAAGCGTTGCCTATTTTGTCAAAAAAAAAAAAAAGAAAAGGAAAAACAATTTGTAAATTCTAGCCGCTTAATTTTTTGCAAAGATAACTGCGTTTAGGAAACGCCGACAACGACCTACAGCTATCGGCTTGCAGAGTACACTGTTGAGTGAACAAGCAAACGAACCTTCACGCATACGAAATGCTTGTAAAAGGAAAGGAGTTACTGCTAACATACTAGTCATCAAAATGTTTACATTTGAATGGCGTTGTTTTATGAAAAAAGAAGTACACTTAAAACTACGTATGAGTCGAAGCTTGACACTATGGCGACAAGCGAATTCGAAAGAGGGCAATGTTCACTACGTATAAGGAGACTGATTATGAGTGAACGCTATCCGTATCCGACAAAAAGAGGAAATTGTGCTCTAAAGTTATGTCGTGTGGACCTTGTCAGCGGGCGCAGTACCATACTCAGACGAAATGTCGGAAAGAATCGGCGGCTAAGGCTGAAAATTATCGCCAATAACCCGCAAACCGTGGCCAAATGTTTACAGGACACGTGTTTCCATTGTCTTTGTTTAGAGATTAGTCATTAGCTACAACTATAATTGTCACTATCATTAGGTAGTGATTGCTGCTTATGTGTCATGTCCATTTGTTACTTTCTTTTCTATCCGTCCCTGTGTTAGGAGTTCAACTTTCACTTATGAACATACCTCAAATAATGCATATATAAGTATCCTGTATATATGCTTCGTGACCTTTCCAGAAATATCTGCAGGTTTCGTTAGCTAAATAGATGTTTGATCTAGAGGTGTGCAGGTATGGTCTTTGATAAAATCCGTTCTTTTCTTATCCCGAAACATCTCATAGACCCTCGGTTTTACTTCTAGACTTGCGTAATGTTACGAGTGGAGACGTGTAGCCCCATCGGTGTAACAATGGGGGGGTTTCCGTAATACGGAGAATAAATACCACTGTTTAGGTTAGCTGAATGTTGTATACTAGTATTTAGCTGACTGTTCATCGAAGGGTTTATCTGAGGCCGATTTCGAAATGGATCCATTGTGCTATATATGCTGGGGTTGGAAGAATTTATCGACTCGTCGTGGTGTCCAGCTTGTAGAGTAAGCACGGGCGGAGGTTCCTGTCGCTGCTTGGCCTCCTGCACTTTATTATAGTGCTCTAGTAGGACTTCGGCTGGCCAATGGTTTACTGGCGACAAGCCTGCTTGTTGCTGCCCCATTTGGTTTAGGTTCATATTCATGGTCATCGACATGTTCATTTGGTCATTCATAGATATCGAGTGATCCATTGACATTGGCATGTGGTCGAGACCCATACTAGGATTAAGTGGCAAACCCGGAGCCATCGTTGCCATAGGACTAAGACCTTCCTTCAGTACTGGCGAGGGCGTAAGGACAGGAGTTACATTGTCACCATGCAACGGTTCTTTAGGTAGAGTTCCATTGTTTGGTGTGCCTAGACTGCCTCCATTGTTCTTATCATTCACTGGCGCTTTCTTCGCTTTGACAAGCAGGGGATCTTTCCTTCTGCGCGCCACAATTATGATCAGTATGCAAACTCCAAGCATAAGAATGACAAGGGGTATGGCGATGATTAACGCGAGCTGACCTGGCAGTAGGCGTGGCCCTTCACGCTGGCCTGGGAGTATATGATCTGAGTTGAGGTCAAAATTGCCCGAAGTCGTTCCACCTGGCGCCCCGGAATTTCCTTGACCGGAACCAGAAGTGCTGATTCCCCAAATAGATGAGATGGTTGTTGTAATCGGTGGCATTACTGAGACGGTGACAATATTTGATACGGCCGATAGTGCTCCATACGTGTTGTTGACCTTTAAAGTGAAGTATTGAGGTAGAGGTGAGCCGCTAGCGACTTTAACGAAAACCTGTTCTCGACTGCCGGCTTCCTTCGGTACGGGGGGATTGCCGTCCATTTCCCAATGGCTGATAACCTGGCCCCGCTCATCGAACTGCGAGACAGCCTCGTCACGATTGTCGAATCTTTTAAGAATGTAAGAGGCGGCTCTGCCGTGATCTTTCACGTTGCCCGTTGCGGTCCAACCGAGGGAAACCCCTTGTGGATTGGACTGCAAGTACACGACATGGAGATCCGTAACTCGCCCCGGTACAGCCCAGGCTGTACGGATCTCACCGTCACGCTGTTCGCGGAGCACGCGGGTTATAAATATTGAACCAAAGTGTACTCGCCGGGCGAATGGCCTAGTTGTATTCAGAGCAGTGCGTACAACGAGGCTGCCGCAGCATGCCGTGTGCGGAACAGTGTCGTCTGCAAGATAAATAACATATATTATCCCCTATGTTTGCTAGTAGTTCCACTTAATAGCTTCATAAAAATGAGCGCGTAAAAATACTTCACAGCATGCTCAGTAGACTACTTGTTGCCGTGTGAAGCTGCGCGCTATTATCATGCGTAGCGTGACAAAAATCTTCACTTTAGGTAGTATTATTCACCGCTTATTGAAGTTACATACTTCATTTACAATGCTTGAGAAAAATATAGACTAATACACACATTCATCGACATAATGCATCCTATATTCTTTCGGACAATATTATAGCCTATTTTTTCAAGCGCCCACTAGCTGATACGTATGATAAAAGCACACAGCAAATGTATTATTAAAATAATAATGTGAACAAATAATTTAAGCCGAACTTGATCAGCACAGAGGGCAGTTATTATTTAAATATTATATGAATTACATCTAAATATGATCATCTCACCAGGCACAGTGGCTCCTCGAAGAACCGCTGCGTTTCCTTCACTCTTAGCTTCCACAACGAGACGATGCCTGCCAAGATTTTTGATCCCCTCGACGTATCGTGAGTACACGCCGTCATCTTTGGTTACGTCAGGATCTCCTGCGCCGTTGTCTCTTAGGTCGATACACAGCTGCGTCTCGCTTTGGTCTGACACAGGGGTAATTTTGGCGATCACCTTTGCGTCAACCACTGGGCGACTTCCCTTGCTCACCTTAGCGTAGACGATGAGGCCTCTTTCCTGAAGGCTCACCTTCAGATTGAGGTTAAGGGAAACGCAACACACGCATAGGGAAAACAGACACCGATCAGAAAAAAGGGTACCAATGTTAGACATGGAATGAAACTGTTGACGAGTTAAATACAACAACAATAATAAATGAGGGAATTTTATTCGTTAAGGCTAGTGACTGGACCGGATTATCAGGTGCCGATTTGTTGATTTGTCTGGTAAGGCACGTCAAACTGTATTTCGTTGATAATACTATTACTTGATCGGAACAGGGGATGCAGCGGATACATTCCCTGGAGGTGGAAAGGTACAATATTTTCGTGTGTTGATTGAATCTCGGTGATTTATTTACATTGTGGCTGGGTTGAGAGATCCAAACGTCGACTGTGATGGGTTCATCGTCACCTTCTGACGGTTTAGCTGCTGCCGACACGACGATTGGCTGTTTGGTATCCTTGCGCGCTTTGGCTTCGAGTCGCCAACGGCCGACAGCAGGTTCAGGAATCCTGAATTCGTAATACCAGAACTGGGAATTTGTTGACACATATTTATAGTCCTTCGGGCTATAGACTTTTTTGCCACTCGAATGGCCGTCGGGAGCAAAAAGCGAAATGTCTTTAGGTAATACGGTCCAGGTTCTGTCTGAGCCATAATCGTGGCCAAGCAGTCGGATGCGAAGCTCCGAGCTCAGAGTAGGGTCGATGTCGAATTCAAACACCATGTCGTGCTGTTCCTTACCGTAGAACTCTTTTTGCTCAATCTGATTGTAACTGTCGGATTGGGGCGATGATGTATCATCAAATGTGAAACTGTACAGTGCGTCATAGAGTTGCTGGAGCGCTGTTACTGTAACCGCATTGTCGATCGGAGTATCGTCAATAGCCACTGTACGCCCGCCTGTTTGCGCTACGAACGTATCCAGAGTGTTGTCCGTTTTTAACGAGGGGCGACCAACTGGAAGGTGGTTGTTTCCTATAACGTTTCCGACGTGTGCAGCGTCGGTATACATGACAGACGCAGATGCTGTCGATGTCGGAAAAGTGACATGGCCTCGCGATGGAAAGATGATCGAGTCTACACGAATGCTCTGTAGCTTGTAGTTGTGATGTATGAGCTCATCGAAGTTCTGGCTTAAATGTCCGTCGCCGATAACGAGAACACGTTTGGTAAAACCTTCTAAAGGAAGACGCTCCATAATCTCCGATGTGTCGTTAAGTGCTTCCAATGCAGCGCGCAGTCCGTCTTCTAGCGTTGAGTTGGCGTGACTACCGCTTTCTATATCAGCGTTAAGTAGCAGTGCATCCACAGCATTTCTTACACTATCGTCGCTGGCGGAAGCACGCCGTAAGGCAATTTCGCTAGTTACCGCGCCGTACGTCACTAAGGCAATCTGCATCTCACTTGGAGCTTCGCTACGGAGGAACTGATTTAGCGCACGCAAGATATAATTACGATGATTCTGTAAAGGAAATTATGGAAAATAGAAAGTACGGTAAGGATTAGCATAGTACAATAAAACAATCTGCACATTCCTGCAGTGCTGAGAATTAAGAGACCTATCAAGACTAACACTTGAGGAAGTGAAACCTGAAAAATCCGAGTGAGGTGGCAATTGACAAGGTAGCCATCGTTTAGGCTTGATTTTCTAGGCAGCTGTTATCGTATTTGTACAATAAGGAGTCGCGGCTATTAAATTTGCATACTTGCAAATACATCGTCAAATATCTACCACTGTTCTTGATAATAGGAGAAACAGGGTAGGGTTTTGTAGCGCCATCTTCATCGAATCTCTACATTCATTTCGAACTTTAGCTGTGCTCGTACTTACATGCTGCATTGTAGTTTCACTAATCTGAATCACAAATGCCACCACTTGGGCTCGTTCCTGAAGAAAAATGAAGGTTGTACGTCCCAGATGGTTATATCCACTGCAATCGCAAAGATCAAAAACAGCAACATATTCGGACTATTGAGCTATTTCGTTCCTCCTTCTTTATTCTGTTTTCTGCGTAATTATCTTTATTTGATACTAACTAATATTCGCGAATCCCTTTGATCCAACGCGTAATCTTGGACATGTCGTTGAATGCTTCCAATGCGATAAAGGTCACCTTTCATAATTACAAATACTAAAAATGACTGTACAAATTTTTCTTCAATTCAGTTCTGCTAGGATCTTTATCGTAATTTAGACCCGAATTAGAAGATTAGAGGGGGCCATCATTAAAACAATAATATTATGAGTTTATACTCTACTCACTCGCGAGCTTTTCCGTAGAAATCAGGATGCCGTTCGATCACTTCCGTCGTTGACTTCTCATCGCACATCACGTTATGCTTGGTGGGTAAGGTACGGTCGTGTGCGCGATTAGGACCCCCGCAGAAGTGAGTAGCCGATGGCAGGCCGCTCATCAAGGAAGCTTCGACAGCTTCATGTCCTGCGGAGTAGACCGGTATACAATCTTGATCCAGCGGAAAGCCATTCATCAGGTTAATTGTCGCATTACACGCCACGCCATTACCATTCCTGTAACAAATATAAAGTGTTATTCTCTAAACAGTCATTATTATCTCAAGCGTTTATAGCAATACATACAATAGCTCACTATGGTTAAACAATGACTAAGTATGTCCTCCGGCAACGTCCCCCCCCCCATCAGGACACCCCTTAACGACTGGCTGGCGCCCTTCAGTATCTCTGCCCCGCCCTATTTCGCCTCTATTGCAACACATAGAAGAAGGTTCCCCATGTCCTACAGAGTCCATCACTTACAGACCGCAATCAGCACGGAGCAGCCGTAAGTATTCTAGCAGACAGAGTTCCGTGAAACTGCAAAGACAGAAAGCCAAGGCGGCCAGAACAGGACAACATCTGCTTGAAGAACTGTCAGTGTGTCCGTGCTTGTCTAATTATCTGATCGTGCCAATGTCTGAATATGTAAACAATAATAGTGAGCAACGCGTACAGTTAGACGCAACTGTAGACGCGACTCGACGTAAGCGTAATAATAACTAGCTAATAATAAGGGCTCAGCGGTCGCTGCGCGCCAAACGTCGCGATAATGGCTATGACTAGATAGAAGCTGCATTCCCATAGCAATACTAGTAGAAGCTGCGTTGGGAGTAGATATCGTGATGACTGCATTACCGTCAGCCGCAACAACGGCAACAAGTGTTTTTGCTCTTTCTTCTGTTACTACTGCGGCAAAGTGGAATGATTCCCCCTTTTCCATCCTTGAATTCCCTACAACGTCTTCTCTCTCCCTTCGTACCCTATTCTTGTTTTGCCTACGTTTTTTTGCCATTTTGCGGGTCGAAGCCAAACAGCCCCGAAAGCAGCGCAGACAGCAAAATGCTTAGAGACCTAGAAAAAGAATCCTTCGGCAGAGAGAGAGAGAGAGCGGGCGTAGTGCAAGGAACGCAAATGACAAGAGCGAGCACAGCAGACAAACTGAAAACTTCGGAGGATTTGGCGCAGTCAGAAGAAAGCATTTGTACTGCTGACCCAGTCTCTCCTATTTCCATCCTTTTCCGTACAAACGTTCGCGCGAACGTTTGAGTCAAGCAAATAGCGACAGAATCGCCGTAAGAGCTTAAGCCGTCGTCGTCGTCGGCTGCCGTAACAGAATACGAGCACTTTGTGCCTTCTTGGGGAAATACCGTCTTTGTACCCTTACTCCCTTTTGGTTACCTCGTCGCATCAGCCCCGTTCCTGCTTCATCAGTTGAGTGCGCTGTGCCCAAAACTGTGTCCTCGTTGCGTCGCCTTTCTCCGGTGTGGAATCTCCCGAGTATCCGGCAAAGTGCGAATGCCCGATATCTGACACTCGACTTGAACAAAGCCACTACGCTCTAGGATTACTGCCACCGACCGCTACTGCTGCGGCTGTTGCCACTCTGCCGATCGCGTAGGGTTGTCCGCAGCAGGAAGCATTGAGAAAATACGAAAAGGGTTCGATTTGACCTCAAGCCGACAAATCAGCCCAGAGAAAGCATGAAGTAGGGCGGTTTAAATTTGGATTGCTGTTCGACGAAAAGCGGCCTTCAGATAGAGCAGGCGGTATTGGCTTGAGATTGGAAAGACCATTACAAGGACGTCTTTTGTTCCCTTCCTGCGCCATTTGCTTTGATTTCTAAGTCTTTTCAGCCTTGCTGTAAGTCTTTCACTCGTTCTTCAGATTCCCATCTCATCCGACTCCCTAACATACTGCCTGCTCATATAGTCGTTCAAAATCTATACTTCAACTTTTACTGCTTCCTTCGAAAACGTTCTAAAGAAGTTAGGCGTACTGATGCTACTTAAGCCATTAGCATTAGCGCAGGTAGGAGCCTTATGTAAATAATTACAAATTAATATATTGACAAACGACTGTATCACGTCGATCATAGTTACGATGATGCTACTCCTCACTAATCTCTATTGCATTATACAGACTGACAGCTGACTGTTACATACAACCCTATAGGGTAGGTCGACAAGCCAGTATACATACACTCACTTAATCACGAACTAGCTAGCAAAGGTCAAGCCTCCAAGAATATCTAATACGAACAATATACACGTTTCCCAATGGCTAACTAACTCCTTGCATCCCATAATATTCTTAACGCTACCTCAGACTGCTAGAGACTGTGCGTTACTACATACCATAACGGTAAGAAGCGTTGTTTATTTATGAGTGCGAGTTAGAGAAATGAAAGCGTTCCCTTACGTAAACCATTAAAACCGAAATATTCTCACGCCCATATATAGATACAACGACGACAAAGGCAACACCAACAATAGCAACAACAATAAAAACAGAAGCAGCATTACCGGTAGCATTGGCAATCTGTTTATCCAACAAAAAGACTTCTTTTTTATGCGCTGCCTGATAACTCAAAATGTTCAGAAGCATTGGGCGGTCGGTCGAGATTATCAGGCTTTCTTTACTCGCTACCAATGGCAGCAAACAGCAAAGAACCAACTGCCCAGCCCCGCAAGTATTTTCGAGGCAACATATCAAAGAAGAAGACCCCGATGCTTGTATTCACGTACCTATATATAATAAATCTGGCCTGATTCTAAGCATAAACAACAATGGAACAAATCATTCTCTTATAGAGTGCAAAGGTCGAATGCTTCTACCGTGCTTGTTGTGCGTGTGCCGTACGCCAACTTCAGACCAACAATTCCAATTTTGATAGACATATATATAATATACAGTTGCAGACTCAGATATATCCTGAGGTCACAACGGAACGACTGCCTTTTCAGATCTCTAATGACCGTTCTATTTTAATGAAGTTACCGTCATCATTAGGAGCAACGTCGTCGTTGGGTGAGGCAAGTCGAATGCCGACCACATCAGTGACGTCCGATTTAAGTTCTCAATTAAAATGTACGTATCTTTAAAGCCCAGTAAATTCAGTTAGCTGCGAAGAACGTCTGAATAACATAAATATCTTTACATTTTCAGCCCGTAATCGATTAAGACCTACGTTCCTTACTACCTCATAATGTAAATAAATATATTTTCAGCATTCCGGCTTTGTTTGTCGAGACATATCGACTGGCGTGAAGAAAAATCGTTAAAAAGCGATACTTTGCATATAAACAATGTCTTCAATATTTTTTTCGTGTTTAAAAATTCAAACACGAAAAGCGACTTAAAAAAAAAACAGAAAGTGTTTTAAAAAATGTTTTCGAAATATTCACGATATTAACCACCTCTTTTCTAATCGACATATGGTAAACATTCAAGGATAATTCCCTACCATTTTTGGGTAAAACTCACATGGGTAAAACAAATGTTACATTGAAATATTCGCCATTTCCTCGCCGAAATATGCATTTCAGATATAGAAACTTGGAAAAAATCAGTCCGACCATTCTAAGATGCTGATTTGGGTCAGACAGATGAACGGACAAGCAGATGGTGCGGACCTTCAGTTGTTTACTTAGGCGCCAATCGCGGACGCACTTGTTTCGCCATTATGCTCATTACATTTTACCTGTATAGAGGTAAAAATATGATTTATATCAATAATGGAAGTAAGGTCGAATAGTGGCCATGTATTTTCTAATAGTCGCAACCTTTATCACATAAGCATACCTATTCACAGAAGAAAACCTGCACAGAAATATACTTCTGTGCATCTGATGATACAACAGGGCGAACGACGCGGGTGGCCGCCTTCATGCTTCTGCCACTCGAACGTGAAGCCTGCACCAACCAATACTGCGCTCTATAGAAAAGCAAAGTTTATAGCTAAAGAGCGATATATTATTTGCAGGATTAGTTCCGTTTTGGGCGCAGAGTAAAACGTCAGCGACCTGTCTGTCGAAGGCAAACTGTGCGGGCAAAATTTACCGCGATCTAAAAACACACAAAAGTATTTTCTTTGGAAGTGGCTCACACTCAGATCGGAGAGAAGTAGCGCTATGAAAAGCCGAGAGCGAACTAAAAAGTGATGGAACTTAGTTGAAATATAAAGGACCGAATAAACACTGCCTGGACAAAGAGCCAACCTGGCTGCAGTAGTCATCGGTTTGCGTCTATCAGCGATAAGCAAATTGTAAAATAAAACGTGGTACTTAACGGTCTAATAGTGCATAGGCCAACTTGCCCGTAATACAACCGTCTCGCTTAATAAGTCCTTAATAGATTATTATAGGGTTGGACTTACTAAGCGCGATAAATGAAGTTTCTACTCGCCTAAATTTCGCATAGAAGATAGAAAGAAGACCCTTGTCAACTCAGACTGCCGAAGAGGAATTTATATGGAAGCTAGTTTAACAAACGAATCTAGATACCGCAGCATGTAATTGTATAGCAATCGACGGATCTTATACGTGTGAGCTACTGTCTTTCGTCAAGCGTTATTTTCCTTTTAACACTAGTAAAGTCATTAGCTAGAGCCAAAACGTTGACCCAGTTACGACGGCCCGTTCTAGTCAGCGTTGATATCTTCAATAACGAACAGCACACAGCTAGATAATCCAGTCTGGCGTCGCCCGCGCTAAAGTTATCCAGTCGTTAAACCGCATCGTAAACATTGTACCAGGAATCAAAATAGAAAGTCCTATCTATCTATTATATGTTGCAGTGTACTTTGAGATTTTTCATAATGAACTCCTAGATAGTGAATGCACAAGTATATTTCTGGATTCAAGTCTCGAAATTTACCTGAGTCTGGCCTTTATGGACGGCATCGATAAGGCTCAAGCTAGCGTTTGTATATCTATGACAAAAGTAATTTTAACGCCTGTAAAAACAGCTTCTACTTAAATAAAAGCTGGTCTCTTTCGAAAAGCCGCCTACACGATTACTCAGCGGAGCGTCTCGATCGCAACTACGAATGATCGGGGATTCGCACGCGCTCTCGAAACAGTAATGGCAACAAAACAATCGTCAACAAGATATCTTAAGCGCTCGATGATGGCCTTACAAACTCGGGCAAACTTAATTTAGACTACCGCGCACCTTAATTATTGATGCGTGAGGCCATGTCCTCTATCCGTGCCCATTTTTTTGAACACGAATCC